ACCTGAAATGTAATTTCCATTTATATTAAGAGAGCTATGGCCCTTTATTGTCATTTTAACCACTGCTTTGGGTGCATTTTTCAAATGTTCAAATATATCACTTAGTCTCCGTGTTGACTGACCTGATATGTAAGCAAGTTTATAATTGGAATTAAAAAAAAATATCCTGTATTCCTTCTGGTCGTGTGTTTCATCACAGATAACAAGAATTTATATAAACATTGGCAGACATTTGCTGCACCAGCTAAGGTGAAAACAAATGTTCCAGAAGAAACAAATTGACGTTGATTTATTGGAATACGGTTCTTAAACTTTTGTTCATTATAAACACATGTTGTCTGCACAACCTCTGCGAAAATGCAAGTGAAAAAAAAATATACAACAAATTTATAGATACAGAAATAACTCCAATTTCAAAATGTGAAACATTAGTTTTTACATTGCTTTCAAATTCTTTCCAATTCAAACAGTAGTTTGAATTCAATACTTTTCCTAACTGTAGCCTGAATTCATTGGTGGAAGGAACCAATATATAATGAGCATAGTGGTTACCATGGAGACAAAAATGTTAACAACCTGAAATCAAATTAGATCTCTGAATGAAAAAGAAGAATCACTCAATTTAATTCTAAGCTCATATAAGACCTTTTCTTACTTTTTTGAACTCTAAATTTTTTGTTTCATTTTTTTTGTCTTTAACACTCAAACTTTGAGACCAATTTTGTTCTTTCTACAGATGGCAGGGGTTCAGGACGTGGGGTTAATGGCAGATAAGATAACACAGCGTTATATCTGCCAAGTTGTTATCAGGGTTTTTTGCAAGTGTTAGAGGTATATTTTCTATCTTGGCATCACTGATAGATGTATAAAATGCAGCAACAGCTTCCCCTGATATATCTCTACATTTCTGGAATGTGTCGGACTTAATTGGATTTCATGTTGAATAAAATTGATGTATTTATGAACGCTCCTTATCCAACACTTTTGGAGCTGTTTCAGGTTATAATAGTATTCTGATCCTCCTGAAGAGTGCACGGCTGTTCTGTGGCCTAGAAACCATCATTCTCCTGAAGGTGCAATTTTAGACAAATACGCGTACAGGTCAGAGTGCTATTCAGCCCTGTCAGTTACAGAATTGAGAGTTTTCTGTCCTGCTATCGACACAATCTGAAATGATTCGCGTGAGATTGCGATCACTGAGATGGCGTCTATTTCCTGGCCACAGGGGACATTAAGATCGGTAGTGTACTTGGCTTGGCGAACCATCCTCCTTCTTCATCTTCAGGTTACACTGTGTCACCTTTGGAGCAAGCTTTTATACGAGCTTTTAAAGGTTTTAGAACCAAAGTAAACGTGCCGTCTTGTACAGTTTTGCCAGCAGTAGTGATGGTTAACTAAATGTCTTGACTAAAGTACATGCTATATTTGTTTTTTTTCTATTGTCTGTTTCGTGTTTTAAATCTGTACATGAAGAGTAATTGGTAGCATGTGTCTGGTGTACGAATCCGCAACAGTATCATACGAAGAACAAACACGCAAAGACAGACAGACAGAAAGATAGAGAGACAGAAAGAGAGAGACAGAAAGAGAGAGAGACAGAAAGAGAGAGAGACAGAAAGATAGAGATACAGAAAGATAGAGAGACAGAAAGATAGAGATACAGAAAGATAGAGAGACAGAAAGATAGAGAGACAGAAAGAGAGAGAGACAGAAAGATGGAGATACAGAAAGAGAGAGAGACAGAAAGATAGAGATACAGAAAGATAGAGAGACAGAAAGATAGAGATACAGAAAGATAGAGATACAGAAAGAGAGAGAGACACACAAAGATAGAGAGACAAAAATATAGAGAGACAGAAAGAGAGATATGTGAGCACTTTTATGTGAGATGGGAGTGGTTTGAAGTTTCCCCTGCCTTTTGTTTCCCCAAGCCGTTCAGACCTCAGAATCATTGATCATGTTCCAGATAAGATTAATCTTTAGATCAAAAAGAGGTCAATGATAATAAATATTCAACAGCAATGTTTATCAGTTGAATAGAATTTCAGTGTCTTCATGGCATTTCTGCACATAACATTTCTGAACTGAATTGGAAACAGGAATAACATCAATTTTCTTCGTTTCTCAGTAAAACCTATATAGAATGTCTGGAGTTTATTTTGCAACCTTGCTCTCCCCAAACCTATTTCTTTGTCCCCTTCTGAACAATTCCTTTATATGTTTCCCTCAATACATCTCAACAATCTCCTCCATGTTACAACTAAGATAGGTTTGACAAATGATGGCAGTATAACAAGGTTTTATTGCACAATAAAGTCTGTCTTACCAACTTACTTCTCCTCCTAAAATTTCCGATTGCATTAATTCAATTTACATGCGAGTTTGTGAATTAGGACCCCGTTGAAGGTCTGATTTAGACAGGTTTCTATATCATATAGTATACAGTTAAGACAGGTAGGAAATTAAATATAAATAATGTTAAAGTTAGTGTGATGGTATTGATCACTTTGAGTCAATTGGCCACAACGGAGACATCAGAGTTGAGGGGATGATATCACTGCTCAACATTTGTGGGTCAAAATTTGAATTCTGATGGTTTTGTGGCTCTGATGGGATGGGAGGCCAAGATTTATGTTTTGATTGACTTGTTTTTGCGGCTTATCTTTAACAAAGCAAAATGATCAATTGTCTCCAGGAATAGCATGTTTATAAATTAACTTAGGGATGGTATGATTCACTTCCCCAGGCCAGAGGGTTCTACAGCTACAAATCGTGATGCTGTTCTTCAAAATCTAAAAAAACTTTCTTGTTTCATAAGATTTGTCCATCAGTGTGTTGTCAATATGTTGCAGGTCTCCTACGTCAGGATGACAGTGGTTCGTTTAGTCAGCATGGCGACCAGTTCTATTTGTCAACATGGTGACAGGTTCTATTTGTCAACATGGTGACAGGTTCTATTTGTCAACATGGTGACAGGTTCTATTTGTCAGCATGGTGACAGGCTCTATTTGTCAGCATGGTGACAGGTTCTATTTGTCAGCATGGTGACAGGCTCTATTTGTCAGCATGGTGACAGGTTCTATTTGTCAACATGGTGACAGATTCTTTTTGTCAGCATGGTGACAGGTTCTATTTGTCAGCAAAGTGACAGGCTCTATTTGTCAACATGGTGACAGGTTCTATTTGTCAACATGGTGACAGGTTCTATTTGTCAACATGGTGACAGGTTCTTTTTGTCAGCATGGTGACAGGTTCTATTTGTCAGCATGGTGACAGGCTCTATTTGTCAGCATGGTGACAGGTTCTATTTGTCAGCATGGTGACAGGCTCTATTTGTCAGCATGGTGACAGGTTCTATTTGTCAGCATGGTGACAGGTTCTATATGTCAGCAAAGTGACAGGTTCTATTTGTCAGCATGGTGACAGGCTCTATTTGTCAACATGGTGACAGGTTCTATTTGTCAAGATGGTGACAGGTTCTATGTGTCAACATGATGACAGATTCTATTTGTCAACATGGTGACAGGTTCTTTTTGTCAGCATGGTGACAGGTTCTATTTGTCAGCATGGTGACAGGCTCTATTTGTCAACATGGTGACAGGTTCTATTTGTCAACATGGTACTTCGGTTTCCTCCCACAGTAAGACCCCCATGTGCGCTAACGTCATGGCCAACAAGAGTGATTGGTATAAGCTGAAATAACTTGTTTCATAACTGTTATAAAATAAGTAAAGTTTACACAGATAAGTGTCAATATATCAACATTAACACAGATCATATATAGCAGATGAGCAGTGGTCTTATGTTGTCATCACGTTGACTGAACCTATAAATTGTCAACATTTATGTTGTTCTTATGCATCATGTGTAGACTTTTCCTTTACCCTAAAATCTAATTAGAAAATAGCCCTTGAAAATATCTAAATATCTTGTCTGGTTTTGAAAATAAACCAAGTACTCTGAAGGACTTCCCACCCTTTGTAATACACATGTTTTTCTTGTCGTCATTTCCGTATTGCGTATCGGGCATTTCATTACCATAGTGTAAATTATAGTAACACCTGGTAAACAATAGTACACATGTGTGACGATGATATGTCAACACCCGATATCTAGACTTCATTGGGAAATGTGTAATCACACGTACTTCAGAAATAAAGCTGATAATACAAAGACATTAATAAACCCCAGGGAAGACAGTGACATAAGATCAGATGACTTCAAGAAGGTCGTATATGAGGTGCATGGAATGCAGACTGATTTGTTTTGTTTACCGACCTCACCTGTACATATCACATGCTAACATTGCATGTGCGTGCACATGAAAAAGGCATACCATGCGATTTTGGTATGAAACCATGTGTCCTTCTAGCTTGTATATAGTAACTTTTATCCTTACAATTTCAATAAAAAATGCTTTGTTTAACATGTTGTAGATATTTTATGATAAATAAAATATTTGTAGGGTTGATTAGCAATTTCCCCAAAAAATCACCTGTTTATCAGAATGCTTAGATTTCCATAAAATCATCTTTACATAGTGACATAACCATTATGTGAAACTTTCATTGAATTCTGCTGGCTAATTGCGAAAGAGTGGAGCCTCCTTAATAAAAACAGATCAGCAGCTTTTTACTGAGAATTTAGGATTGTCCACTTGTGGGCTGCTTCCATACATTGACACAATAGCTGGTCCTATATATCAATATGTGATACATCCACGTATGGGCAGGTCTGATAATGTCAACGTTGATTCTAGTCAGTGTTTGTCAGCCTGACTGTAACATATATGACAACATGCAGGCTGGTCTTTCATATTTTATAAGGGATTTTACATCTTAATTCAACACAAGGGTATAGTCTCTATCAACAGATTTGTCTGACTGAAAAACATGCATTTTGTGTGCATGGTTCTTTAAATTTTCATGACCTTGTACACTAACGAAAGAATTGTATCTTGATATCCACATGACCTTTAATTATCCTTTGTCTATCCACAGCTATATGACAAGATCAACACACAAACAATCAGTCCTGTGCGACCCCCGCCCTCAGACGCTGTAGACAAAACCAAAGAGGTAAGTCTTGTCAAAACATCCATCAGTTCTATGGTTATGATCGCTGTTTGTCAACGTCGTGATGTCATTTAATACAAGCTGTCATTTGTCAACATACTAGTACCATTGACAGTCAACACACTAGTAGTATTGACAGTCAACATACTAGTACCATTGACAGTCAACATACTAGTACCATGGACAGTCAACATACTAGTACCATTAACAGTCACCAACCTAGTACCTTTGACAGTCAACAACTTAGTACCATTGACAGTCAACATACTAGTACCATTGACAGTCAACAACTTAGTACTATTGACAGTCAACATACTAGTACTATTGACAGTCAACATCCTAGTACCATTGACAGTCAACAACTTAGTACCATTGTACACAGTGCATGTTAATTCATTGACAGTCAACATACTAATACAATTGACAGTCAACATACTAGTACTATTGACAGTCAACAACCTAGTACCATTGACAGTCAACAACTTAGTACCATTGACAGTCAACAAACTAGTACCATTGACAGTCAACAACTTAGTACTATTGACAGTCAACAACCTAGTACCATTGACAGTCAACATACTAGTTCCATTGACAGTCAACATACTAGAACCATTGACAGTCAACACACTAGTACTATTGACAGTCAACATACTAGTACTATTGACAGTCAACATACTAGTACCATTGACAGTTAGTATACTAGTACCATTGACAGTTACCATACTAGTACCATTGACAATCAACATCCTAGTACCTTTGGCAGTCAACATACTAGTACCGTTAGCAGTCAACACACCAGTTCCATTGACAGACAACATACTAGTAGCATTGACAGCTAGTCAACATCCTAGTACCATTGACAGTCAGTATACTAGAACCGTTGACAGTCAACACACCAGTACCATTGACAGTCAACATACTAGAACCATTGACAGTCAACATACTAGTACCATTGACAGTCAGCATACCAGTACCATTGACATTCAACATTCTAGTACTATTGACAGTCAACAACTTAGTACCATTGACAGTCAACATACTAGTACCATTGACAGTCAACAACTTAGTACTATTGACAGTCCGTATACTAGTACCATTGACAATCAACAACCTTGTACCATTGACAGTCAACATCTGTAAATTGATTTCCATTGAAAAGTACATTTGTTAATCAATAAACAATCTTACACATTGTTTTGCTTTCATTGCAAATCTTATAATGTCCAATCATAAAATAAGGAGCCAGCCAATTAGGTTGGGAAGCCATTAGCTCCTGTACAGACAACTGTCCATTTTATAATTCATTCATTCCTCCTTCAGAATTACATATTGTTCTTTCTTTCATTCTTGCCTATGTAACAGAAAAAAGGACCTCAAGGGTATTGGCTTGGCTAGATTTTAGTGTGCGGTACACAGTGCATGTTAATTGTCATAATGATAGTTGAATCATGCAGCTTTTCCAGTGAAGGGGAACGCCATTATGGCGAGATTGTTCAATCTGAAAATCTTGCTTTCCAGATGCTTAGAGACAAATCCCCAAAATTACTATATGCTGCATTAATCTGAGATCAATGTTGCTGTTGTGTTTTTGGACGTTTGGGAACTTAATTACGTAGCAAAACTAATGGTGTTCAATTGGTCACATGATGTTGATCATCTGATAAAGGGAAATCAGGGTAAAGTTTGATTGGCCAATCAAAGCTTATACAGTATAGTAAAACCTTGTTATACCGCCACCCTATGTCCTCTGCGATTTTGTCATTATAACGAGTTTGGCAGTATATCAGGTTTACAGTTTTAAACCCAAGTGCTCACACACCAACTGAACTTATACTTGAAAAAAAAAATTGCTTCAGAATACGTTTTTTTTTCAGAATTGTAATTTAATGTATCAATTTATTTAGCGTGCAAAACATAGCTGATTACCTGGTCAGTTGGCAGTCACATGTAACAAAACAATGTACACGCGTACCTAACATTCCTGTCATCAGGATATACAAGTACTCGACTCAAATTGGCTGTATTAAACGAGGTCAAAATAGGGTGATTTAACCATTTGTTTTTGAGAATATGATGGCGGTTGGTGGTATGTTGCTTTGGTATTAAAACGGAAACATCAACGTTGGGGGAATCATCTGAGTAAACAGGTGGCATTACAAAGGGATTTTACTGTACATACAGTAATCATGGTAAAGTCTGATTAGCCAATCAAAGCTTACATATACAGTAGTCATGGTAAAGTCTGATCAGCTAATCAAAGCTTACATATACAGTAGTCACAGTAAAGTCTGATCAGCCAATCAATGCTTACATATACAGTAGTCATGGTAAAGTCTGATCAGCCAATCAATGCTTACATATACAGTAGTCACAGTAAAGTCTGATTAGCCAATCAAAGCTTACATTTACATTAGTTATAACAAAAGTTTTGTTGATTGACGATGTATGATGAGTGTTTGTGGTGTTTTGTTTACTTCCAGGTAACTGCAGTGTTAGCACAGTGTCCTGAACAATATGCAAGTCTTAGTAAAGAGCTTAGTCAGATCATCTCCAAGCCTCACATTATGGTAAGTCAATTACTCTCTTCAAGGTAACATATGTGAGTGAGGTTAAAGGTCACTAGAGTATGTGTGACCACAAGTTACTCAAGTGTGAGGTTAAAAGTCACTAAAGTATGTGTGACTACATGTTACTCAAGTGTGAGGTTAAATGTCACTAGAGTGTGTATGACCACAAGTTACTCAAGTGTGGGGTTAAAGGTCACTAAAGTATGTGTGACTACAAGTTACTCAAGTGTGAGGTTAAAGTTCACAAGAATCTGGGAGATCATAAACTATGCAAGTGTGTGAACTTAAATGTCACAAGATTGTGAGATCACACGTGTGTGAGGTTATAAGTCATAAAACTGTTTGAGGTCAAATGTTATTATAAGTAAATGCATGGCCACTAGTATGGTACATTGTATATTGTATGACAGTTTGTACCCAAGACGCGTGTTGTCAGCTGACTCCCTAGTTTTTCCAAAATGCAAAGCATAGACTGATGTTTCCTGTGATGATTTTGTACTGGTACTTAATGGTTTTAGTTTCCTTTAATGATTTTGTACTGGTACTTAATTGTTTTAGTTTCCTGTAATGATTTTGTACTGGTATTTAATGGTTTTAGTTTCCTGTGATGATTTTGTACTGGTACTTAATTGTTTTAGTTTCCTGT